TGAAACATTTCATATATGTCCAAATACTTGGCAGAATTTAAAAAAATAGTGAATTTGGTGTAAAGTTGCTATTTTATGGAAATGCCTCTAACTTTACATTTTCATTCCATCTGTAGATTTTTCTATCTTTATAAAATATTGGAGTTATTTTTTAAGGAAAAATAGAGAAGTAGCTTGTGAATAGCTCAAACTAAGCTTACAAATCGCATGTAAAAAAGCAAAAAAGTTATTTGTGTCTGTTTATATTGCTTCCTTTTTTGTAGCCTTTGTACCTGTACAGGGTGACAGTAAGGGCCAAGCAGGAGAGGCGTAATCCTTGTATAAAATAGGAGCCAGCGACACTCTTGTGTTTATCTGTTATCTTTTTAGTCAGTTACTTCAAAAAAAACAAAAAACAAAAACAAACAAAAAAAGCTGTACATTTTAACATAAAATAAATTATGATGAGCCATTTTTAGCCTCTTGTGTCCTGTCATATTATGATTGATAGAGAATGACCAATTGAACTGTATCATGTGTCACATCTCAGAACACATACACATTTTGGGAAAATAAATTATTTAGTGTAAATTGGAGTTATGAGATTTTTCTGATTTGCTTTGACTTTGGGGGAGGGGTTGGCAATAAATAAAAGTAATATCTAATAAAACCATCACATATACCAAATACCTATTTAATAAATTAATTTATAATGGATTTTAATGCTTTTCATGAAAGTTTATTTTATGCTAGTGCATACCTTCTGTATGCCAATCATTGTCTTTAAAATAAAGTGAATTTGTTTTTTTCTTTTTGACTTTGATCTTCATTTGCAAAGAGATCCTGCACAAATATCCCAAATATCTAGTTGCTTAGTTTGTACAGTCTGTATAAACACCCTCAGAGCCTAGTACCATGATAGCAAGCTTCATTTTTATAAAGATTAATTCCAAAACACCCAGTTTGGTATAGTATGTTTGAAAATTTATTTAAGTGTGAAAGTTTTGCTCTGTTGTGAATGATTGATTGTATGTTTTCTTTAGTCTAAACGTTTAGACCAAGAGGAAAAAGTAAATATTCACAAACATTATTTAATGGCATTCAGAAAACGTTTTGCATAAAAGTTTAAACATTTGATTATTCAAGCAATGAGTCTAGAAATGGGTGTTCAGCTCTCTGCAGAGCAAGTCACTACTATTGTTTTAACACATAATAGTTAGGTGTTAACACAGATGATAGATACAAACCTTAAAACGATCCCAAAACACTGAACAGGTAGGATAGAGCTCGCACCAGGATAAAAGGCCCCACATGGAGGAGGATGCTTGGCCTTCTGTTCTCACCTGTGTCATTCTCTTTTCAGTTTTTGCATGTGTAGTGGGTTTAATATCCAGATTCTACCCTTAAATCCCTCCCTCCCACACTTGCAAAGTTGGCAACACCAGTAGTGAAGCCGGAGGGCTCCAAGGGCTGCTATGGCGAAGGGAGACAGAGTTGCTGTGCTCCCCATTCTTCTGACGGGGAAATGCACGGCTTGTGTGAATCCATGGTTGCAGCAGGTCAGAAGTGGCCAAGCATCAGGCAAGAGGCTGCCTAAGCATGGGAGGCAGGATAAGGTCCCTAACACACAGCTCCCCACAAGCCCCACTTTGAAACTTTCATGGTTCAGTTTTTTTCCTGCTGCTTTAAGTTTTGGGGAAGGCTGGAGGACCCCCGCCCTCATTCCCTTTGGCAGTGGCCTGCTGATCACACCTTTGGGTTTGTGGGATGCTAGGGCTCCAATGTCCCACTCATGCCTGCCCTATAGCCCTCTAGGGAGGTCAGGGACAAATCCCAGTCACTGTCCCAGACCTGCCACACCAGAATCAGACCAGACACCTTGTGTCTCACAGAGACTGTGGCGTAGTCACTGGGAGCTATCTTTGGGCCCCAAGTCCCAGCATTCCTTGAGGGATCAGAAAGGTTTAGCATAGGAGAGAAATTGCACAGCTGGGATGGCCAGGGAGCACCCTGCTCTCCTCACCTGCCCACTCAATGGGAAATTCAGACCTGAATGTGACACCACAGGTCCTGGAAAACAGGAACTTGGATTCATCATGACTGAATACACTTACTGTTAGGTTGGGATTCATTCACGACTAGGCCACACCTTTAAAAACCAGTAATGTGTTCTTGTTCATTTTCTTCAAGAGTCTAACATGGATTGTCTGTTGCCAACCTACTTTCATAGCTCGAATGGTGCCAGCTCTTGGACTCGGGCCTCAGACTTTGGCCTTCCTCACCAATGTGCTGTTTCAGAAATGACGACTCACAACACTGTCACAAAGAGCTTTCACCAACAGCGCTTCCACCTGATCCAAACTCACACCTTGTGTGGGAAATGGGGTGGTCGTTTTCATTTACAGATCAGGAAATGGAGGCTCAAAGAAGCTAACCTAACTGCCTGAACTCACCCAGCTAAAATTTGTAAGCTGAAACAAACCCGGTGTTCCCAAATCACAGCTCTTTCTCCTAAAACACTGTATCCTGTGAAAAGGCTCCTAAAACATTGAACTCTGAAAAGGCTGTAACTCGTCACCTCTCTGGTTTAAAGGCTTAGCTAATGATTACATGATGCTGTAAAAACTGTTAAGTGCTCCATAAATATAGGTTCCTTTGTTGTTGCAAGCAAGGCTGGCTCTGCAGCCAGCCTTAGATACTGAAAGTGCAAGGACTGTCGCTTACCCAGCAGTGACTTCAGAGTCTGTGCCCAGGCCTCCCTAACTCCTGCGACCTTCTTTGTTCCCTTTCCCAGATTCCTCCTCCACCTAGGCCTGGCTGGACAAGTTCACGTTCTGCAACATTCCGGCCTGGAGCATCCTCTCTTTTTTTCCCCTTATCTATCTCCTATGATGACTTCAAATTCTACCTCTTCACAGTATTTGTATCTCCAGTTGTGAACTTTACTCTGAGCTCTAGATTGCAGATCAAATTACTTGGGATACCTTTTCTGTGTCTTCTGGACGTGCCATAATGCAGTGATACCCAGTTCGTTAACCTTCATTTCTCTCCCCTCTCAGCAAGTCCACTCCTTTTCCCACATAATTCCAAAATGATCCTGAATGCAAATTCCCTGGCACTATCTGTACAGGCCATCTTCCCCTCTCTTATAACAGCCCCCTAACTGATCTTCTGGTCTCCTTTCTCAGTTCCCTATAACCTATTCTCCATACTTTGTCCAAATGATTTTTTTCTTTCTGGAGTGATCTTGAAAAAGCTCACACCATTTCCCTGCTTAAAACACTTGAGTGGGTTTTTCTTTGCACTGGGAATAAAATCCAACCTCTCCACCCCTTTTCTTGCACTCTCCCTCACCTGACGGGCAGTTCCTCAGACTAGAATGCTCTCTCCTCCTTGGCAAGATGTACAACGTCAAGCCTAAGCTTACTCTCCCTGAGAGGTTGCCCTTCAACACCCCACTTCTAAAGTGGGTTGCTCCCCCAACACTCCCCGTTGCTTTCCACCTAAGCACCCGTTTCCCTCATTGCATTTTATTACAACCCACACTTTTTATTTTTGACCTCTTATAATGCAACCGTTGTCATGTGTGGTACATTCTCAACAAATACTCATTGATTGAATATTTTACTTGTGAAGATGTGAAACACTATTGGAAACACTGTTCCTCCTTTCTCCTGTCTGGCTCTCAGGAGTCACCAGAAGAGTCCAGACCCTCCAGTGTTAAGTTCTCTCTTGCTTCTGCCCTCAGCAGGGCTCTGCCCCACAAGGAGATGGTGGCATAGGGGGATGGTAGGTGTTCAAGAAAATACGTCCTCCCTACATGTAAATTCACTTAAATGTAAATAGTTTATTAAAATAGAAATATTGATTTGTGTCTGGGCACAGAATATCAGACCTAAGAGAAAACAGTTCAGAGGGCAGTCATCGGGATGCCATGCTACGGAAGCCTAGTAGAGATCACTCTGAGCCCAGTCCCTTTTGGTCTGCATCTCTTTCCCAAGAGCCCATACATGGCTCCAATTACACCCCAATCTGAGTCATTAAGCAATTCCATCACCCTTGGTCATTATGCCCCTACCATTCTGTTCTCTCTCTCTCACAATCACATGAGTTTTGGCTGATCCAGCCCTACCTCTCTCTAGTTCAGACCTGTCACAATTTCAGAGGGAACATCTCTCCTTTTTGATCTTATCACCAAGATAGACCAATTTACTAAACATTCATATTTCCATTTCAACTTTGCCTTTTTGCTTTGCAACTCCTTTACAATGTTTCAGGTTTTTAATTTACTAGAAGCCCAATATCTTTAACACAGGCAGAGAGTGGGGACTCTCAGATGAATCCCCTCCATGTGCATGTTCATCAGAGGACCAAGTCTTCTCCTGGGCCAAGGTGACCCTCCCAGAGCAGAACCAGGACAATCCCAGGGAATCAGGTCCAGGCACAAGGGCCCAGGACACAGCAAGCAGAACAGCTTCCCTGAGGTCACAGGGAGACTCTTGGGTGACTTTATCCAGCTGCTGAATCCCTGGACTCTTACCTCCCCTCCCATAAGAACTTCCTCTTTCATTCTGTTGAGAACCAAACTGGAGACCCAGCGCCTTTCGATTGTTTCCCAGTCGGCCTTTAGCACACTCTCTTGGCTTTATCCAGGTGGTTTCCCTTTCTGGTCATTGGCTGCCAGGACCCCACCCCCACCCCCCTGCCCCGACCCCTCTCTCTCTTTGGGTTCAGCCTGATTCAGGTTCCTGGCTCTAGAAGCCACCACGACCCACTTGGTGCTGCTACTATTTTCTCAAGAATGAAGAGCACACATGCTCACAGTGAGTGGCTTAGCTCAGCCCTGAGCCCCCCTGACTGCCCCATCCTTCCATTCCACACCAAACCCCTTTACAAATACTTCCTGGTGTGACTGAAAACAAACCAGCCCCAGCTGCTCTGGCTAGAGACACAGTCCTGGTCTGCTGAAGGGTGTCTCCTCCTTTCCCTCTTTGTGCAAAATTATAAAGCCAAACTCTTGCTTGTCCAAATTTGCCACAATTTATTGAATTTGTCTGAGTAGTGGCAGCTCTGGCCACCATTCAGAAGAGCCCTGGCTCCCTGAGGCAGGCAAGAAGCCAAGGGCAGGGGCTTCTAAGGGGCTCAGGACCCTACTCCCCACCTCTGCCAGGCCAGCAGCATCTGTGAATGGTGACCTGGGGATTCCATGGGGAAAGAATTTGGGGTGGCCCCCAGAGGCCCTGATACCTGTGAAAGCTCTCCTGTAACACAGCTGCACAGGAATTTTCTGTGTTTATAGAAAATCAAGTTCTATTTTTAAATTATTTTTTTATAATAATGTGACTTTCAGACAAAGCCAAACATTTAATCACAACACAATTCCCACACATTTTTAAATCCTTTTCTGTTTCCATCTTTTAAAAAAGAAGAGGGAGAAAAAATTACAGGAGACTGCAGAACGGTGCTCTCATCTGTAACCAATTGAGCCGGGCGCCAGTCTCCCCCCAACGGGGCTGAGGCCTGGACTCCGCCTGGAGGCGGCTCTGAAGCCTCCCGGCTCCCAGCACACACTGGGAAGTTTAATAAGATTATTAGGAAGAAGTTAAGCTTTGGTTTTGCTGTCCCTTCTCTGTGACCAATGTCATGGGGCAGCGCCATTTCAGCTTTTCTTTCTCCATCCCAAGAGTCTATGCTTGGTGGTGAAGAGGGTCCTATGGCTCCCCCTGGCAGTCCCCACGCTGGGTCTGTCGCCTCTGCTGAACCAGCTGCTTGTCCAGTTCTCGAAGTTGCTTCAGAAAGCCCCGGTTGGGTAGGACGCAGCGATTCTTGGCCACTTGTTGGATGGCATCCACCAGAGTCATGTTCCTATGGATCATCAGGTAGGCCAGGACCAGGGTCGCCGATCTGCTCCGGCCCATGGCACAGTGAACCAGGATCTTATCTGCAGATGGAATTGAGAGAAGAAAATCCACACTGAAGAGGTGGTGTGGCTTGTGGAGAAGGCCTTGCATCAGGCCCAGGGAGGCCTGCTCAGTCCTGATTGGCTCACTCAGCTCCCACCCACAGCCTGGCTACACCCACAGCTCCCCATGTGCATGGGGGAAACTCTCATGGTTTCTTTGTCTTTGTGAAGGTAATTTGTACATAACATACTTTGTATGCTGCTTGGAACCCATTAAAAACTCAAAAAATGGCATTAGTTGCTGGGCACGGTGGTGCAGGAGGCTAAGGCAGGAGAATTGCGAGTTCAAAGCCAGCTTCAGCAACTTAGTGAGATCCTGTCTCAAAAAATAAAAGGGGAGGGGGGCGGCTGGTGGTTGGGATTGTGGCTCAGCGGTAGAGTGCTCGCCTAGCACAGGCAGGACCGGGTTCCATCCTCAGCACCACATAAAAATAAAGGCATTGCGTTGTGTCCATCTACACCAAGAAATAAATATTTTTAAAAAAATAAATAAAAAATAAAAGGGCTGGGGACTTAGGACTTAAGTCAGTGGTAAAGCACCTCTAGGTTCAATCCCCAGCACTAAATAGATAGATAGATGATAGATAGATAGATAGATAGATAGATAGATAGATAGATAGATAGATAGATAGATAGATAGGAGATGTTACTGTTGCTTGGTAAGGAAGGGGAAGAGGGAAATGAAGTTAAGGCTCTCACTTGCCTGAGTACCTTTAAGTGAGAACTTCCAAGTCAGTGTGCTGAAGAAATGATTTTATGGGTTTGTGTGTGTGTGTGTGTGTGTTTAATGCTCATTTATTATGTTGAATAGGGTAGGCACTAGGGTTCAAATTTCAAAAGTTACTAAAGGATGCCCTGAAAAGACTCCAGTGCCTCAGCTCCCAGGAGCAACAGACTTTATCAATTTTTTCTTCCAGAGAGGAATCAGTGCATATGCATAATGAAATAGATTTATTTTTCTTCTTTTTTTTCCCCTCAAAGGCAAAGTTCTACATCCTTTTCCATACCTTGCTTTTTCATTTAACAATATATCTTGGACATTTTTATCAATCTGTATATGAAGGATTCGTTTAATTTTTTTTTGTGTGTGTGTGTGTGTATATGTGTCTAAAATGAAATTCCTCTGTAGAGATAAGCAACTATAGACAGAATGCATTCCCTGGGAGACCCTGGAATGACCATCCCATGCCTGGGCTACATGTGGAGTGGAGAGATACGGATGCTTTTTACGTTATCTGCAGTGCTGCTAGATTTGACCCTGGATAAGGAGCGCTGCCTCATCCCCGATGGCCCTTTCTGCAGCCCAGAGGGCATGGTCTGCTTGCTTGGCATCCTTGAGCATCCATGTAGCCAGTGGGGCCCATATTACCCTGGCCTGACCTCTTGCAGACCTGGGTTCCAGACTGGATTCTGCCACTCATTGCCAGTTAGCTAACAAATAGGTAAGTCACTCAGCCTCTGGAGCTCTAATTTCCTCAACTGTCAAGGAGGGGAGCAAAATCAGATCAGCAGTGAGCAAATCTAATTCTATAAAATAACATGGTTGAGTTTTTTAAAAAATGAAAGTAGTTTTACTGTCATGTGCCAAAGGAAAGGGATGAATATTCTTCAAATTTAAATTAGCTACAGTATTGTCTATTCTAGCTGTTCTCTAAGTGTGTTCCAAGATCCCTGGGAGTTCCCAGGAAACTTTCAGGAGATGCATGGAGTCAATACGATTTCCATCATCCATCGTACTGTGGTGATATTTGTCTGACTGTGTTGACATGCATGCTGACATTGCCTTTGTGACCATCACAAAGGCAATGGTGTGCAGAACTTCTGCTGTCTTAGCAGGGATCATGGCACAGGCACCAGTTAGACTAGTAAGCAAATTGCTTTGCCTGCCCCCACACACTCTCAGGGGGCAAACAGCAATTTCCCTTAAGAATAACTTCGATGAAGCAGTAAAAATTAGTTTTATCAAATCCCAGCCCCTGGGTGTACTTCTTAATATTCCATGTGATGAAATGGGATGTATACATAAAGCACTTTGGCCACATACTGAAGTACAATGGTTGTCTCAAGGAAAAGCACATGCGAGCTGATTGAGATGCGAGCTGAATAGCTGCTGTTTTCAGGAAACACATTTTTCCTTGAGTGAACAAATGACAGAAAAACCATGGGTATTCAAACTTGGGAATTTAGCAGCCCTCTTCTCAAAAGTGAACCAAGTGAGCCTGTCATGTCAAAGAAAACAACTGACGTATTTGTTGCTGGTGATAAAATGCAGAATTTCAAACAAAAATTAGAATTTTGGAAAACTTGTTTCCATCACTTTGAGATGATGGAACTTATTAGGACAGTTTCCTAATACATTATGATTTTTTTTCCTTTAAGATAGATGGTGATATTAACAAGTGTGGCTTTTTGGATAATCTGCAATGAAAAATGTCAGCATTTAAAAGAACCATATAACTTAGTGAACTAGTATTTTCAAATGAACATTGTAGGACATTTTAATGTTATATCAAAAGATCCACTTAAGACAGACCAGTGGAGTTTAATGTGAGAGTATATGAAGTTCATTGATATGGTTTCTGATTCCACATCACAAGTGACCTTAAAATATTTTGTTTGTGGAGATTTGGTGCAGTTTCAAAGAAGACTATCCACAATTATCTCAAAAGACTATTAAAATATTCCTCCCTTGTCCAACTAAATATATAATTAAGGCTGTATTTTCTTTAAATATTTCAACTGAAAGAGGTTATCACAATAATCTGAATGCAGAAGCAGATATAAGAATACAACTGAATTGTGTTAAACCTAACATTGAAGACATTTGTTAAAAATGTAAAATAATATCACTCTTGCCCCTAACTTATTTTGGAACACATAACTTTTCATAAAACTATGTAATTATGTTGCTATACAATAGGTCTGTTTAAATGAACACATATCTTAATTTTTTTCAGTTTTTACTTCTAATAGGGTAAATATTGATAGGTATAGTCTACATAGACAAAAGGTCTTTTGTATTCACTAATTTATTTTAAGAGTGTAAAAGAATTCTGAATCCAAAAAGTTGGGGACCAGAGATCTGGAAGAAAAGCTCTTTGGCCTCTTCCATGCCCACAGCTGGGCCTCTCTGAGAAGCCAGGAGCTTCAAAAGCTTCCCATCCCTCAGGCCTCCATTTGGTGGCGCTCTAGAGCTCACCTAGCTCATATCTCCTTTTATGCTCAGCCAACCTTCAAGGATTCATTATCATCATCCTTCCTTTGCAGATGGGGAAACAAGCTCATGGGGGTGCAATGATTTTGCTAGAGGTTTCCCAGAAAGCTTTTGCTTGGAATCACTCAATGCAACATATATTTGAGGCCCTACTGTGTGCCAGCCCAATAGCCACTAGAATCTCATTGCTTTATCTGTGCTCAGAGCAATGAGATTCAACTGACTGTCCCACCACTGCCAGTGGGTGCCCTCTCCTGTCGCTATGGGATCACTCTGCTGGTGTCACAGTCATTGGGACTGCTTGAGCTGTGTGACCCCAGTGCCGGCCCTGTTCCTGAGTCATAGGCCTGAAGTCTGAAGAGTTGTCCAAGAAGACACTCATGGACATTGGTGGGTTTATGGAGCATCACAGGATACAAGGACAGCTAGCTTCTGCATAGATGTGGCTCTGCATGTTCCTCTCACTGCCACCACCTCACTTTCCTCATTGGGCCAATGCCCAGTAGAGTGATGATGGTCAGAAACCAAGGCAGCATGAGAAATCCATGCGGTGCTAAACACCAAGCACCTGGGCTCTTCTCTCCAGCCCTACACGGCTGGAGAAGTCTGCGTACTCCAATCAACAGTGAGGACAACAGTGGCCTCTCCACAGGCAGAGCCTGGCACAGGGAGGTGCTCTGTAAATAGTTCTTCATTTTATCACAATTTAACTGATCTCCACAAGCTCACCAGGCCCGCTCATCCTACATCTCCCTGTTGCTGGGCCTTTCCCTTCTTCACCTTGGCCAGAAAGGGAGGCAGGAAGCAGGTCCCCCTTCTTTATTGCTACTTAGGGCTTAGGGGATGGGGGCCCCACATTCTTGCCCAGCATAACTGTGCTTGTGGGGTGTGGCTGCATCCAGGCCAGCGCATGTCTACCTCTGGCATTCTAATCCCCACGGGCTGCTCCAGAGGCTGCCTGGCCCCTGGCCAGCTCTGCTGATAACTAAAGCGTTTCTTCCTCTCCTGGCAAAAAGAGTAATTCTTCCTGTCATGACTAAATACTAAAACAGACGAAAGCTGTAGTTCATTAAGCCTTTGGGGAGCCTGAAGTCTGTTAAGTGAGGGGGGAGGGGAGAGGAAGGCGGAAGGTAGGGGAGATGGGGGAGGCAGGCGCAGGGGAGCTGGAGGGGGTGGAAGGGAAAGCGGGAAAAGAGGGAGGAGGGACATTCAGTTGTGGCAGGAGTTCCTGGAGTTGAATTTGGTTTTCAAGACCCCCCCATTCATGCTGTCAGCCATGAGAACTAGATGGACCTTCCTAGGGTAAAGAGCCTGCTGTTCTCTTTCCCCTCTGGGACTGTCCCCAGAATTCTCAGGCCTCTGCTCCCTCTTTGCTCAGTGGCCCTGCCAAGCACCATCCTTTGGAGCCCAGGGTTGGGCGGCAGGAATCAGTAGAGTCTGGAAGGCCTGTTCCCAGCACTGGCCTCATGGAGAAAGCAGGAGACTGTGAGTTGGATGCCAGCCACAGGTAGGGTCTTCGGCAAAGGCAGCCTTGACAGAGCTGGCATTTTCTATATCACTGGCTTCTAAATTTTTCTGCGCAACCCCAGGAAATAACAGAGCAGGATGAAATTCACAGCTGACACCTGTGTTCTCTTCTAAGCACTTTATGTTGTCAATGTCACCCAGTGACATTGATGAAGTTATTTTCTCCAGTTTACAGATGAGGTAACTGAAGTGCAGAGAAGGGACTTGTCCAAGTCACACAGTTAGGGAGTGGCAGACCCAGGATCTGAGCCCAAGCAGATGGCCAGTGTGCCTGTCAGTCAAAAGTAATCCATACCTGCAAGGCAAGCTGATATTTTCTATTTATTTCTAATTTATTCAATGTTTCAAAAAGAAACACCCACCAAATTGATTTTTGATCCACTGATAGGTCACAAATCTGTATCTGGAAATGGCTAGTTTCCATCAAATGTTTCTCCTATGTCCCCTTACCAACAGGGTGTCTGGTGGACTGCCAGGGTGTGTGTGCCATAGGAAGACAGGAGACACTTGGTGATCTGGTCTGGTTAAGGCTTAGGGAATCAACCAGAGCCAGAGAATCAACCTCTTGCTAGAAGAAGCCTTTGTTTATTTATTTATACCTACTGGGTCCATAATAGATTTTAAGGGAGCTTCAACAGTAGGCTAAAGACTGTTTATTTAAGAAACAAGGAACCAGTTTGGAGATGTGGCTCAGTGGTAGAGTGCTTGCCTAGCATGCCTGAAGGCCTGGGTTTCCTCCCCAGTACCATGAATTAAAAAAGAAAAAAAAGAATGAACCAAGGGTCAATGCGGATTCTGAAATTTGATCTTCAGGCAGGCCCTGATAATCACATGGGAACAGTGAAGGCACTCCAAATGTATTCTGTCACAGGTTCTTTTTCGGATGAAGAAGGATGAGTTCACTTGTTTCAGGTCCCATAACCAGCTGACATGCCTTGCCTTCCATGATAATTGGTACCCCTCATACAGCACAGTCACCAGATGCTCAAAATAAGGGCCAAAGACGCTTCCAGGAGGCCTCAGTGATGGAAGGAACCCCTTTCCTTGGCAAGGGCATGTCCTGACTACTGCTTCTGATTAGCTCTGTGGCCCTGGGCAGGTCACTAGACTTCTCTAGGCTTTAGTTTTCCGAGATCTCAGGCCTGGATGGCAGACTAGATTATTTCTTAAGATTTTTGGAGCATGATTGAGGCTTTCTGGAGAGTTCATTCAGAAGGTCAAATCAGCATAGAGAGGGGGTAGAAGTGGGCCTCTGGGCATGATAATTGGCCAGGAGTACAGTTCCCTGACACACACCAGGGATTTTTTTTTATTACTTTTTTTAATATGTTGATGAACCTTTGTTTTATTCATTTATTTATATGCGGTGCTGAGAATCGAACCCAGTGCTTCACACATGCTAGGCAAGTGCTCTAAGCCACAACCTCAGCCCCAGGGATGGTTTTTAAAAAGAATGAATATACTGAGCACTATGGCACATGCCTATAATCCCAGTGATTCAGGAGGCTGAGGTAGGAAGATTGCCAGTTTAAGACCAGTGTTAGAAATTTAGTGAGACCCTCTCAAAATAGAAAATAAAAAGAGCTGCAGTTCACTGGGAACAGTGGCACACACCTATAATCCCAGCAACTCGAGAGGCTGAGGAAGGAGGATCACAAATTCAAGGCCAGCCTCAGCAACTTAGTGAGGCCCTCAACAACTTAGTGAGACCCTGTCTCATAATTAAAAAACAAGGGCTGGGGATATAGCTTGATAGGTAGAGTGGTGCAAGGCGCTGGGTTCAATCCCCAGTACCAAATATATAAATATTTAAAACAGGACTAGGGATATAGTTCCGTGGTTAAGCGCCCTGGGTTCAATCCCCAGTACCAAAAGAAGCGGGGAGGACTAGGGATGTAGCTCAGTGATGGAGTGCTCCCGGGTTCAATCAACAGTGCCAAAAAAAGAACACATAGCATGTGCAAGGCACTAGGTTCAATCCCATCACACACAAAAAAATAAAAATTAAATTTAAAAAAAAAGAGTGAGCATGACTGGCTATGAGGGACAGGGAGAGGGAACAGTGAACCCTTGGCTGAAACAAGTCAATGAAGGACAGGAAAGACAGGAAGGAGGGAGGAAAGAGAGAGGCCTGCCTTTGGGCCAGACTACCCATCAACACCTCTTACATCAGGAGTATAATAAGAAACACACAACTGGATCTGCCTCTGAAATGCCACAAAAGTGTCCCTGGGTTTTCCAGTGCATGACTAGACAAAACCAGGCTACTCACTGCACGAGTGGCAGGGAGGCCAGGCACCTGTCATCTGCTTTCTCTATGGCAGTGCTGTTGCTAAGCTAACAAGCATTTTGTTTTGTTACTCTGCACCATTCAGGGCACAGGTGACGAGCTGATGGCCATTGGTTTGCTTTGGTTTTGCCCTCTCCCGCATTTTAAGAAATATCAATTTGCTGTCAACAAATGTGAGTGATTTTATAGTAAAATCCAGATTGGAGACTTTTCCTGAAAAGTCAGAAATTCTACCATGTTTTCATTATCCTCACAAGAAACACTGGCTGGAATAAAACAGCAGCTGCTGTTTTTGACGGGGGCACGGGACTTTCTTCAGCCCTGTCCCTACATCCCATTGCCTTACACACGGACACCTTCATTTGTTTCTGCTCTTCGTGGTTCTGAAGGATTGCTATTTGATGCTTTGGGCTGAGGAAGTCTGTAGACATTCAGGGGCAAAGGGCACTGAGAATGGAGCCCAGCCTCCCACCTGACAGTGCTGTCACATCCTGCTCCCTGATTCTGCCCAGCTGATCTAGGCCCCACACCCTTCCAATCAATCTGGTTGCTTGCACATCCTCTAGCCTCTCTATATATCCTCTTCCCTCTTTTTCTTTTTTGAGGTACCAAGGATTAAACTCAGAGGCACTTGGCCACTGAGCTATATCCCTAGCCCTATTTTGTATTGTTTTTAGAGACAGAGTCTCATTGAGTTGCTTAGGGCCTCACCTTGGCTGAGTCTGGCTTTGAACTTGTTATCCTCCTGTCTCAGGCTCCTGAGCCACTGGAATTACAGGTGTGTGTCACGGCACCTGGCTCTCTTCCTTCTTGACCCTTCCATTGCTGGGTACTTTCGCCCTCCTGGTTTAAGGGTCACAACCCACACCAGCCTGAAACATCCTCATTGGTGCTCTGTGATCTCTCTGAGTCTAAACATGTGACTCTAGATCTTGATTCTTTCCTGATCTGGCAGTGGGGGCAGCCTCTCAAATGCTGTGCCAGGAACCTAAAACAAGCTTTCATGTGAGTATATCATACAAGTTCAAAGTTGGAATGTCTTTTTTCCTTCTTTTCTTTCTTTTTTTTTTTAGGATTGGAAACTTTATTATGATGATATGCATATGCTGGCAAAGTTATATGCTTCACAGTACACGACCTCTTTTTATCAAATGCATCCGAAAGCCTGCTGTGCACCAGGTTCTATGCCAAGTGCTTTATGTGTGTTACTGCTGATCTTCATTATAACCTCACAAGGTAAATATTTTCATCACCAGATGGAGACAACAAGGCTCAGAGAAATCACATCATTAGTAAGTTTTGCAACAGGAATTTGAACCCAGTCCTGTCTTCTCCAAAGTCTGCCAGGTCTCTTCCATTAAGGGGGAGTTCTAAGACATAGAAATGGCAAGCAAGCACATAAAACAGAAACTGAAAGATTGAACTGTTGTAGGCTTTTGTTTTTTCATGTCAAATGTGTTTTCAGTTAACTTCAAACTTTACCTTATGGTGATGAGTCAGAGTTCAATTACTTTTTTCATCCTGCTTGGAAATCCAGAATGTGCAGAACACAAAAGATAATCCATAAGTAGACTTGTAAAAAAAAATGACTTAGAATTGAGACATCTTTTAACACAAGCACTTCAGTTCCAAGGGTTTTTATCCCATAGTGACATTGCTTTCTGAACCATTGATAATGACAAATTGTTAGTAGTTATGGCTGGCTGTGGAGCTAGGGCCACTGTGGGATGACTGTCCAGCAGAACTGGCCTAGGCCGAACCTCAGGTTGCAAATTCCTGAAGCAGGTCAGTCGGTCAGTCAGTGAGCCTTGTGATTCCAACCTTTACAGCAAGAAAGGCTTTCAGTAACTGGATACTCTGAATTATGTGATGTCCCCAGAAAGGAGTGTGACACATGGGGCTGAAGTCAGAGCCCAGATTAGGGAGTTAAAGTCCTTCTGGCCTCTGTGGAATGCAATAATGCAATATGCAGCAATAATTGCCTATTGTTTTCCCTGGTACATGCCTTGGCTGTGCCCTTTTCTCCAGAATAGCCTGTAGCCTTTCCTAAATTAGGGCAGCTAAAACTGTATTTTTGAGCACAAGGACTAGTACTATGATTTAGAAGATGGATAATCAACACTGGGAAACTTGAACATTGCAGGTACAAAACTCAAATTCTCAGATACAATTTAGCCAAGGTTGTCAACTTGCTATGGGAGGTCTTGCTACACGGAGTGTTAGAGGGTAGGAGGATGTGCGCTTGGAAATTTAGTGAGTCTAGAAGAATTTAAAGTCTCTCCATAGATACCCACCCTGAACCTGGCTAGGATCTTGGCTCCTTTTGGGGGGGTAAGGGTGGGGGGGCTGGGGACTGAACCCAGAGCCTCCAATAGGCAAGCATTCTACCACTGAGCTATACCCCGAGACCCTGCCTTTTCCTTTTGAAGGATGGCTGATACTCCTCAGGGAACACTTTCTTAGACCTAATGATAGCCCTTCGCTCTAAACTCTCACGATTGCGATTCCTCAGTGGTCATCAAAGTCGGAACCCCACCAGTAGCATGCTCAGTGAGGCTGGTCCTCAAACCATGACAACCTCCGGAGGCTCAGAGGTCTTCTCATCAACCACATGCAACCTTAGAGCCTTGGATAGGAAAACCACGTTTTCAAGGCGCCCTCAGGGGGCGGGGCCTCTTGTAGGGCGGGGCCTCTTGTGGGGCGGGGCCGGGCCTCTTACTGCGATCGTCTTGGAGAGCCGAGTCCACGAAGGCAGCCGCGGAGTAGAAGAAGACGCTGAGGTCGAAGGTGGGCACGTCGTCGGCCTCGACGCCGTGGTACTCGATGGGCATGTCGCGGTAGTAGTCGGGCCCCGTGTCCACGTTCCAGCGGCCGTGGGCCGCGTTCAGCACGTGCGTGAAGCCCGCCTTCTGCAGCCCGTAGCGGTCCAGCGCCGTCGCCCTGGGCGCAAGGGAGAGAGGTTGGTCTGCCATGAGGGACTTGGCGCAGACGGGGGCGAGTGGTGTGGACTTGGGGTGGATGGAGGTGAGGAGGGGACTTTGGAGGACCATCCAAGGCTCTCTTCACTCAATTCCGGTTCCTAAAATAAGGTGATTTCAAATGAAGCCCCAAAGCCCTGCTTAGACTGACCCAGGGGCCATTCACGCCATTTGGTCTTTTCATCCCTCTTGTTTCGGCAGGATTGGAGGATGGTGTGACTGAGCTATTCATTCATCCATTTTTTCATCATTTACCAAATCCAGCTAAACCTGGCACTGAACCCTCCTGCTGGACTGGGCCAGCCAGATCCCCAAAAGGCTTCCAGGATAACCCATTCATCTGGGCCGATTTCATAGAGCCCCAGTAGACCCCTTAAAGAGGCCTCTTCTCTGAATCTTCCGGATATATATAGGGTTTTTCAGGTCAGGACTAGAAAGAATAGCTAAAGGCTGGTCTTTGTGAGATTTTGATTGAGATTGGGCAAAATTTTCACAGGGTTGGTGGGCACAATGTGAAACAGTTACTTTGGTGAGTCCTTGGCCTAGTTGAGTAAAGCATTGTTCTGAGGTCAGCTTTTGAGTATCCCATTGTTTGAGTTACTTGGGGGAAGTTCCTGAAGCTGGCAGAGAAGTCATTTAGTTTTCTTTCTTTTTAATATTTATTTTTTAGTTGTAGTTGGACACAACACCTTTATTTCACTTGTTTATTTTTGTATGCGGTGCTGAGGATTGAACCCAGGGTCTCACATGTGCCAGGCGAGTGCTCTACCACTGAGCCACAATCCCAGCCCAGTCATTTAGTTTTCTAGACAAGAATTTCCAAGAAAGAAGAGCAAGGACCTGTGGCCTTGGAACATGACTAGACAGAAAGGCAACATGGTGGACTATCAGAGGAAGCAGGAGTTATTGCTGGGAGGGCAGGTTGGTTGGGGAGCTTTTGGGGAGGGGGCTCCTCCTTGACTGCCCCACCACAAGGGTCAGCGTTTGGTGATGGAGGGGAAGAGAGAGGCAAGAGCAGACCACACCAAGGAATTCACAACCTGAGATATAGAGGCTGGAGATAATGCAGGCCTTTCAGGAAATGTTTGTTACTTTCTGCAGTCAAACTTTTATCCCCAAATAGTGATTTAGAATCCACTGGGTATCACGCACTGTTCTGGTGCTGATGTTACAGCAGGGAAGAGGTTACTCATGGTCCCTTGGGAAACTCAGGTTCTACTCGACATAGCAAATAACAAACAAATAAGATCTCAGTAGTAAGAGCTGTGAAGGAACTAGAGCCGTGTCACAGGATTCAGAATGACCATGGTCTTGCTTTTGGTAGGATGGTCAGTGTAGGCCTCTGCCAGGAGGTGGCATTGAAGTAAGGGAGGGGGAGAGTGTTTCATTCAGGCTGAAGGAACAAGTGCTGAGAAAGGAGACCGGTGAGGCTGTAGCAGAGGGCAGAGGTGGGATCCTGGTGTGCTCTGCAAGCCACAGGAAAGAGTGTGGATCTTATTCTAAGCCTTAGAGGGCTTTAAGGGAAGGGAGAGCACGGTTGGCCTTTTATAAAGATCAGTCTGGCTGATGTGTGGAGTGGGATTAAAGAGGGACCAAAAGCAGAAGCAGGGAGGTCTTCTGGAGGCTTCTGCAGTTGTATGGGCAAAAGAGGAAGGAGGCTTGGACTAGGGTGATGTCACAGAGGGACAACCAGATCTGGCTTTAAGAAGACATCTCCCTCAATAGCACAGAGACCAGTCTGCAGCTCAGGGAAGAGGTGACATGGGTCTGGAACCCTAATAATAAGAGGACAGGAGTGGCATTGTGCTTCAGCTGAAGCCTCATTTCAAGGCCACTGGGAAAAGGATGTGAACTGAAGTGCCATATTGGATGGCAATAGGGACCAACACCCTGGGCTGAGAGGAGTCCTGCATCAGAAGCACATGCCAATGGCCCCTCTCCAGTGGTGCTGCTGTCTCACTAGTTTCTTGGAGCTTTTTGTTTGCTGTGAGAGGAACCATGATGGTGTCTAGAGTTTAGGAAGGAGAGACTTGAGCACAGGCGTTGAGCCTTTAGAAACATTTGTAAACAGCCTGTCGAGCTGTGGTGTGGGGCAGTGGGGAGTTCCACCAAGGCCTCCAGCTGCCTTGGTGCTGGCATCCTGACAGTGGAACACATTCTGCTTTCAATTTTTCCTCAGAAAGGTCTGCTTTTCATTTTTCTTTTTGTCCCAAAGTATGTATACAACAAACATTATGCTTTTGGAACCCAGATCTGCACTCAATTAAAGCTTCCCCTAATGCAGTCCATCATTGCTGAGTAGCAATCAACCCCACTTTGAGGTTGAGCTCAGTGGAAAAATTAAAATTAACTGTTTTTGACAGGAAGCTTGTACCCATCAGAAAGACGGTTCTCTCTGAGTTCAGGAACTGGGTTTTAACATAATCAAATGGCAGTTTGAATAAACAACAGTTTGCACTTTGCTGCTTTTAAGGTCAAGGATCAGGATAGATATGCAACAAGATTCATTGCATGACACCTCCTTATTCACTCTATTGAGCTGGCTTTGGCTGTGTCTGAGAGGAAGGGACTCATGAGGAGCATCATTCCTGGTCAGTGTCTGAGACCCACTGCAGATTTTCAGGGCTCTTTGGCTACCTGGGCCAGGAAGGGGAGATGATGTCCTCACACTCTATTCTGGGGACTACCCCCAGCTTAGTTACTCAGAGTCCAGTTAAGAACTTGGAAGAGCATCCACAGCAGAATGGGGAATTTGCAAATAAAACAGTGCCTCATAGATCTCAGACACACAGCAGCTGGTCCCCAGTTGGGCCAGACGCCCAGCTCAATAATTATTGGACGTGGGGTGGGGATTGAGGGTGGTTGTCTGGTACGTAGTGTTTTGCTTTTAAAATCTCAGGGCCAGATACATTCTCTGCCTTGATATGTTATGTGGGAAAGAAACTAAGAAATGCAGAGGCATTTTGAGGTGGAGGCAAAGAGAAAAGGGCCACATGGCCCTGTCCTGGGCCCATTTATGTGTATCTGCTGAAGGAGAAGAGACTTCAGAGGGAAAAATAGATTTAGGAATTTATTTTTAGAATCTGGATGATGCAGGGGCTGTAGTGTCTGATTGTTTCAGAAAAATCCTACATTCGATCAATTTGTTCATTTTTAAAAAATAATGTCATTTAATTACAGAAATAACATATGCTGATTGTAGAATGTGGGAAACATAACCCCCCCCAAAGGAAAAAACAAAAAAAACCCATTTCTAATCTGCTAGAGATACAAGATTTTATAATTAGCCTTTTGTTTGTTTGTTTTGGTACTGGGGATTGAACCCAGGATGCTTAACCACTGAGCCACATCCCCAGCCTGTTTTATATTTTATTAGAGACAGGGTCTCACTAAATTGCTGAGGCTGGCTTTGAACTCATGACCCTCCTGCCTCAGCTTCCCAAGCTGCTGCCACTGTGACCGATGTTTATCTTTAGCCTTTTGATATAAGATCCTCCAGTTGTCTTTCCGTGGATAGATTTGTGTATTTTATAGAAATGTGTTTTAATACAATACTATACAGTCATATTTCATTTCATTGTGCTGCACAGATATTTTTTTGTGTGTGTGATACTAGAGGTGGAATCCAGGGTCACATGCATGCTAAGCTATATGCCCAGCCTCAATATGGCATTCTTTACCAATCAAAGGTTTGTGGCAAGCCAAATCTATTGGCGTCATTTTTCCAATAGCTCAGATGATTATTAGCATTTTTTAGCAATGAACATTTTGAACTGAAGCATTTACATTGTTTTATAAACATGATGGTATTGCACACTTTAGCTATACTATTATGTAAACACAACTTTTATATGCCCTGGGAAATTAAAGAATTTGAGTGACTTGTTTTGTTTTGATTTTTTTCTTTATTGTGGTGGCCTAGAACTGAACCCATGATGTCTCCAAAGTATACTTATGTGTACAGTTTCAAAAACTTTGGCAGGGTGCTATATCATAAGTGTCTTCCTTTGTCAACATATGTCCTTTTTTAAATATTTGTTTTTAGATGTAGATGGACACAACACAATGCCTTTATTTTTATGTGGTGCTGAGGATCAAACCCAGGTCCCGCCCATGTTAGGGGGTGGGGGGATCTACTGCTGAGCCACAATCCCAGCCCCTAACATATGTCCTTTGATAGCGCTATGGTAGTCACATATATCTCCCAAACTTTATCTCACCCACCCATCACTTTGCTGTATTTCTTAGGGAGCATCTGATTATGTTCTTACGGGTGATTTCTGGAAGTGGAATTGCTGGGTCCATGGTATGGACATTTTTAAATATATTTTATACTTGTTACTAAGTGGCCCTCTAGAAAACTGGTTCAGATTTATATTTTAATTTTTTTTCAAATTTAATAGGCAAAAAATAAAAATGTGTTAATGTTTCCTTTTTTTGGTACTGGAAATTGAGCTCAGGAGCATTCTACCACTAAGCTACAACCCTGACTCCTTTTATTTTTTATTTTGAGACAGGATCTCTTGAAGTTGCCCAGGCTGGCCTAGACTCGCGATCCTCCTGCCCCCAACTTCCCAAATTGTTGGGATTATAGGTGTGCACCATGTGTCAGCTAATGCTTCATTTTTATCCCCTGTCTGAACTATAAGGTTGGACATTTGATACTCATGTGGTGGACTCATGCAGTTCACTTTTAAAGAACATATCCCTGTTTTGACTCAGTTCTCTTTAGCTATTCCTTCCTCCTACAAACCTCTGGCCTTTTCTGTGGATTCTGACTTGAGATTGGAAGACTTAGGAAATGGGCATCTTTCTCACATGGCCCAGTTTCTTCAGTCACACACTTCCCTCCTTTCCTCCTTCTCTGGCCTGGCCCAGCCTCCTGCCAGCCCTCTGGAGTTGCCCTAGAAAACTTGCTTGACACCCCACCTTAGAGGAATGATGGAGAAGTACACTCCCTAT